TTCGGATCGAGACCATGAACGAACGAGCTGGCAATGTTATGGGAGGATTTTTATTGTGATGCTAAATGACACGAGTGCCATTCAAATCTCTGAGCCACGATAATTATATACAGCGTTTATTATTTGTAGTTACAGTAATTTCTCCCTAATTCGCGCTCAGATTGCGCAGAAAAATGAACAATTTGAGAGGAGAAAATAGTTGAAATAGTTTCAGAGGTGATAGTTTTTGTAGTTGTTGACAATCGGTAACTATAAAAACGAGTCTCTTCCCAAATTGACCATTTTAGACCGCAATCTAAGTGGCTAATTGGTTCATTGAGTATTTCCATTTTATTTTGTCTTCTCTTTGTGTATAAAAAATGTAAATATTCAAACGTGATATTCTGAACACACTCGGAGAAAATGTAACTAATCGAAATTCGGACATCACGATTCGTTTATTTTCGAATTGTTTCAATTATAAGGAGGCTTTCAAAGGAAATGACTAAATAAATTTCTCAACTGCAGTACACATTGTAATAGAAATAGCAAATTGTTTAAATATATTCAGTCGTAAAGTCGTAAATTACATATTATGTTAAACATACTAGGTGTCTACAATGTTAATAATTCCTTGGACAAATTTTAGCTCAACGTGAAGTTTCAATGATAGATGCAAACGTAAATGATTTTCAACAGTGATAATTTTGGAAGTGGGACAAGGTGGAAAATTACTCTTGTACGGTTATCTATTTAGAGGAAGTTGAGCCGGCAATATTCTTCTTTGGAATTTGAAAGTTATCTCCTGTCAGTTGTTTCTGACGAGATTTTTAATACTCTTTTAATGTATTAGGTTGGCGCATATGAAATGTCGGATTTTCTTTACACGTAAACCGTTTGTCTCCCTGTTTTCGTTATGCTTTTGTTTTTGGCATAACCTCGTCTATAGTCGTACTGTTCATTGCCAGAGTCACATTTCAATAAAGAATATTTTCTCAAAAGTGTTCCATTTTGTTATTTGTTTTGAATTTCGTAAGAATACGAATTCAACCGATATGCGTGTAATTTTTTTATACGAGTATAAACTTGGTAATAATGCTGCAAAAGCTGTTCGCAATATAAACGTGTATATGAAACGTGTATGAAAAGTGTAGCGTTGGTTTGAAAATTTTCGGTCTGGTGATTTTTCCGTACAAAATGAACCGCGTGGAAGACCTAAAATGTCTGTGAAAAACGATGCTGTGAAAGCATTGGTGGAAACGAATGTGATTGGAGTAATTCACTACTGATTCCTTCGAATTGGTAAGACAATTACAACTGAAAAGTACTGCCAGTACAACGCTCGGCTTCATACGTCGTACAAAACAATTGCAAAATTAAACGAATTAAGCACTCAGCTTATTCGCCGGATCTTCGGCCAACAGACTTTCATTTTTTTAAACATTTGGATCAGTCTTTACGGGCTAAACAGTACGAAAATGAAGACAGTCTGAAAAATTCCATGTCAGAGTTTATTGATCCTAACGATCAGAATTTCTTTAAGACAGGCATCTATGCATTAAAATCTCGTTGGGAAAAGTGTATTGAAGCAAACGGAGCATATTTTGATGAAATAAACGGCTTTTGAAAAAAGATATGCAGTTTTATATATTCGCTTAAAAATCCGACATTGCATACACATCAACCTAATATTATTAGCATGAGTTCCTATTGAGAATACGTATAAAAGCATGGAACACAAAATGATCGAACCATTCGCGAAAAAGATCAGCTAAAATATTTTCAGCTTAAAATATCTTTCAATGGTTTTGAGACGTTTCAATTCGTAACATTTTCGAGTGACTTGAATTTTTCTTTTAAGTGTTGAAGCTCAAATATTCATTTCTTCATCTTTCATATAGACTCTTAGAATGTAATGCAAATTGAATAGCTATCTATTTTGGTAGAAATTGTCTTTCCCCGACAACGATATCATGAAGCGACCCGGACTGCTGCGCGACGCGGTGACAGGCGTCGAAAGCACCTTTTACACGGCAAGTTCCTTGTCTTCCGGTTAAGCAATCGAAACAATAACATTTACTGATACCGTCGCTATCTAATCTGCTCAGTTCACGAATATGCAACGCGTTTCGTAGATTCGCACGATGCGTGTAACGTCGGTCATTGTGTCTGTTCTCTCCGCGAAGAACATACATATTTTGCAAACGTGCTGTCTCATAACCGAAGAATCCGGTGACTAGTTACATCTTTTGTATGATAAGGAAGATTAGAACAAAGAATCACGTACGTCGGAAATCCGAGCGGTGACGTAAAGAGATGACTTTCCTAGTATAGTTTTCACAGGATCAAACAATTATAACAGAAAATAATGCAGCCGAGAAATCTGATTGCGAGTGTCGTTGAGTGGACTCGATTGTTCTCCGCGCGATCAATCATTTTTAGCGATTGTCCGTATTGTGGTCGGACTAAAAATAAAAGATAACGCGATGTATATCGTTGAGCGCTGTGTTCCGAAGTTTTACGATTTCCTCGCGATCTTGAAAATCCTTGGAGGTCGTCTAATTATGATCGACACCGTGACCGTTCCTTTTATCGTGTTTACTTAGTCAGCGTCTGTCAAAAATGTTTCGCCTGTTAAACTATTTTTACTAGCAGGCTGGCGGTCGTTTCTTTTCGGACGATTGAAACGAGGGATGATGCTCCTTTCGGCACGATGATGCACGGCCGAAGATAAATATCGAATTACATTCGAGAAAACGAGAGAAACAATTCGTTTGCTGTGGTACGGAATATACAGCGTTAGGTACGCGATGATCGCCATTAACATAAATGTGTGATTTTATAATGGAGTGTGACGCATTATACGAGGCAAATAACTTTCGTCGTTCTTGTAACGCGACCCCGAATATTCCCAATTGTGGAACAGTGATATAGGGGACAACGTGATCATATATGTAACATACAAAATTCAATAGAAGCTTGTATTAAGTTGCTTTTCTTTTTGATCTCTGTTTAATAAAGTTATTTACAAGTATATCGCGGAGTTTATGTAGTTACACTAAACTAGTAGACACTCTATAATTTTTAACTTTTAGAGCAGAATAATTTTCTTAAAAGTTGGTTCGTTTTGAGATGTTACAAGGATTATGATAGCTGATGTACAAATAATTTTGCGACAAAATTGCACTTGGCTGGATTTTCACTATTTCTAATTGATTATAATTCGTAGCAACGTTATTGGACAACATTTTCAGCATATACATAGCTGACATCGTTTTACAAAATGTGCATACGGATTTATATTATCATCACAGACATAGATAACAATTTCGTAAAACGCAAAGTTTGCAATTTTCCTTAAAATCCCTGCAAATTACGAAGAGAATATTTTGTTTGGATATGACAAACCAATTTTTTCAAATTGTTGCAATAATACAAGCAATTTTATGCACTTTTAGAAAAGTTAGCCTTTTTGAAGGCTTCAAGTAACGAGACACGTTACTTGAAGAATCTAGATAAAATGCTGAAGAAAAGATTACAGATTCTGAAAATCGGAACGTCCAACAAAATAGCTGCAAAGTTCGTCATCCGGTTCTGCGAATTTAAAGATTTATGGATCTGTTATGAAGTTGATCATAATTACATCAACAGTCCTAATAGATTCAGAAGCAAATAAAAGTCACGAGACGCGGGTGTCAGTCTTCGAAAGTCGCGTTCAAACCAGTTACCACAGAAGAGTTAAACAAAGTATGCATGTAAGTAGTAACCGATTTCTGGAAGTCGTGTTTAGCGTAAAAGGGAATACGAATTAAAAATAAGCACTCAGAGACTTCAGCGGCCGAGATGTATCTCGAACTTTTGTTTTGCTGCTGTATAAATTTTCTGCGATGTCTCAAAGTGTCCTCAAGATTCAAATTCACTGTAGTCAGGATAACCCGCAGTATCGTTATTTCCTCCGTTTCGTCGCTGAACCGGATGAGACAGTGAGTTGAATATTTCATCAACTATACTGCATAAAACATGTTACGAGCTAATATAGATTTAACCGTGAAAGCATTATCTGTGCGAGTCCTACTGCGCTGGACAAAAGTATTCGTACTAAACGTAAAATGTGCACAGTATTATTGTATATGTTGTATGCACACCGGCAATGCAACCGATTGCTGGGTGTAATTTATACTGTGTATTTATTGTAGTCTTAACAAATGTTGATTTTATGTTTAGAGCTCCTCTACGATTTCATTGTTTCGCGCGCGCGCGTAATTTTGTAAAAATCATTTAAAACAACTTAAGTTCAATCCCATACACGTATGTATGGGAATATATTTGCAACACGAATTTGCATAAATGAACATATAAAAAGATTGTAGCCAAACTCGACGCATTAATATTCGACTGCGGTGCTCGGGTCCATTTGGACTCAAAATGTAAATATTGATATCTGACTATTTAGATTCTGATAATTTAAATTTCCACGTGTTTCATTAAGGTCTATAGAAAAACTAACGCGTCTAGAAGTAGTGTTAATTCGTAAATATTAATGAAATTCCATTTAGAATTGCAAATCTTTTCTGCCAATAGAAGCGCTAATAGGTCAACAAATTGTGAATTAAGCCGTTCATTTTGAAAGTGGCCGAAATCCATTTATTTTGAAATCCAAATATTTAAGGATTTTGCGTGTTAATGAATTAAAAAATATTGGTAACTGATATCATGGTAGTATGTTTTTGTATTTCCAAGGGTTATTGCGTTTTTTGCTGAAATGAAATTATATGTAACGTACAAATGTGAATATTAAAGTAGCTAGCTCGATGCTTTTGGAAAATGGACTTAGGCCATTTTCAAAATAAGCTGTCGAATTAATCTATAGAAATGTTTCATCCCGTTAACACGTGAAAACTGTTGATTAAATAAACTTAGAGAACACAAATATTTCCAGTTTTTCATATTCTCATGAAACTAATAGATTCGGCGATAAAAAAGCACAAGCCAGAATGAGAGAACAAAATCATGAAATTTACCGTTCGTAAGAGAGTAATCCCATTGGTCCTCCATCGCGATGGACGAGAATCGGGTTATCGAAAATTCAGGTCCGGAAAATTCAGATCCGAGTAGAGTTTGCACCCTGTCGTCTTGTCTGCTTCCGGTCCTCGGGTTAATCGAACTGTCTCACCTCAGTCTGATCGGCAGAACTGTCACCGCGAATTTCCCGACCGAGCGCACCCGCGAGCGATTTCAAATCGGAACGAAAGTCAAATCAGCAGTTTGCGCTGCGAACAACTTCAGTGCGCGTATCGTTCTTTTTCTGTTGGTTCGTATACAAATCGGGTGTACACGAACAATTCGATCGCAACGGCGTCGCAGCGTTTACTTTGAAGCAACTTCAAAAACGATTTGTTGCTTCCTGCTTTCGTAGAGAAACAAAAAGGTCACTAACCCTCGAACAATCGTCCGCGTATGGCGTATGCGACGCCGGCCGGCCGATCACTGGATTATATACACGCGTCGGTCACGTGACCGCTACTACACCGACTGACTGGAATGCCCGCGCATGCGCCGAGAATTGTTTACACGTGCACCGCGATCCCGCCCCACCATGTGCACATTAGCACGTGCTCAGACGCGATCGGCCAGCACAATTTCGGACAATCGGGGGTGTTGCTTGCCAATTCGATCGAAGAAACTTTCTACCGGGATTAGTTTGGAAAACAGTTGTAGAATAACAATTATTTATTCGATTAAAATGATTTGCGTTACAAATAAAGATTATGAACGACGGAAAAATCATTTTCATTGCCGATAACGATCATCGACGATGGAAACGCTACTTCGGTTGTTCTAGCTGCTTTGGCGAAATAATATAAATGACCGAAATAGAATTCACCTCATCAATAATGGTTAACCAATCAGGAGGAATTTCTTCGGTTGCTTATAACCAATTTAACCGTGTAACTAAAACGGTTGAAACTCGAAAATTTTGTAATCATATGGTTGATTGACAAAATTTCAGCTTGCGGTTAATGCCCTCAACTTAAATAATAAACAAGTTTCGGCTATTAATTTTGTCTATAAAAAGGTATCAAATAACTCTTATTTTTGATTGCTGGTTTCCAGGGCTGAATAAAATATAGTATCTCAAATAAAAGATCTAAATATTTTCGAGAATTATTTCCTAAATTACATTAGCATTTTGAATTTTAAATAAATATTTACTTTTTTGTTAATATTTGCAGAGTGGCACGACAAAATATCTTATTTAATCGTGGTAAAGAAAAAAATATTTCATTGATTTCTATGGTATAGTATTAAGTGTGTAACCAGTATCACGCAGGGGTTATTTTTTTAAATATTGCTTTTTCTCGTGGTTTTCAAGGCCTTCGATATTGTTTTTCAAATGACTATATATATTTTAAAATTATTATTAATTTTATAATTATGTTATTAAAAATAGTATTTATAAAAATATTTTATCATTTCTTTTATCAACCCTCGAAATACGGTCGCACGCTGTACGATAACGGGGTCTTTCGCGAACACATGGCCACGTGAGGTACACAATATGGAACAGTATTAAGTTACTAACACACGCAGCTTCGTCACCGTCGATAAAATAGGAAGACGTCTAGAGATCCCGTTACCGGAGAACGCGGAGTTTAAAAAATACTTTCAAATGTGAGTCGTTTATTTTGAAAGTGGCATAAGAGTCACTTTACCGTAGTGAAAAGTGGTGATTTTTTAATATTTATACGAAATTATTTATACTGAGAAAGATATCAGTATCCTGAGATAACAAATAGAAGTAAATCTTCTCGAAAGTTAGCATCCATATTTTTAAACGTGTTAAAACGCAAACCCTTAAATATATCGACTTAAAAACAAAGTGACTTATGCCACTTTCAAAATAAACGGCTTATGTGTAGTGTGATGTGACCTTGTACCGAATCCTGAACTTTCGGATATGAAAGTCAATTTTTTTGAGAAGACTGGAGCAACGAATGAACACTGGGAGAAAACCCAACATCTGCGGGATTCAAATTGGACATAAAATATTTTTTGCTTAGTTACAATTGAAGGGAATATTTTATGGGTTACATTTATAAGAGTTCTATTCGCGTATAAAATTGATCGAACAACCTTTTAAGACAAAATTACATTTTTATCATTGTGCAACATGTCTCGAACTTTTTCGTGAAGTTAGGTTTGTTAGTTGTGTGGTAAATATTTCTTGTAGCATGACTCGTGTCCAATGATCAGTAAAAATTGTTATCTACGATAAACTCTCAGTACTAAAATAATATCAACTAGGAGAATTACCTTTTTCTAAAAATATATCCTCGATATGTTATCGATAACCTATTGACATCTNTGAAAAGTGGTGATTTTTTAATATTTATACGAAATTATTTATACTGAGAAAGATATCAGTATCCTGAGATAACAAATAGAAGTAAATCTTCTCGAAAGTTAGCATCCATATTTTTAAACGTGTTAAAACGCAAACCCTTAAATATATCGACTTAAAAACAAAGTGACTTATGCCACTTTCAAAATAAACGGCTTATGTGTAGTGTGATGTGACCTTGTACCGAATCCTGAACTTTCGGATATGAAAGTCAATTTTTTTGAGAAGACTGGAGCAACGAATGAACACTGGGAGAAAACCCAACATCTGCGGGATTCAAATTGGACATAAAATATTTTTTGCTTAGTTACAATTGAAGGGAATATTTTATGGGTTACATTTATAAGAGTTCTATTCGCGTATAAAATTGATCGAACAACCTTTTAAGACAAAATTACATTTTTATCATTGTGCAACATGTCTCGAACTTTTTCGTGAAGTTAGGTTTGTTAGTTGTGTGGTAAATATTTCTTGTAGCATGACTCGTGTCCAATGATCAGTAAAAATTGTTATCTACGATAAACTCTCAGTACTAAAATAATATCAACTAGGAGAATTACCTTTTTCTAAAAATATATCCTCGATATGTTATCGATAACCTATTGACATCTGTCCGTTTTTCAGCAACGAATGACGGAATAATACCAACTATCGAATGACGTCAGCGAAACAGAGCATCGTCATTCGCCCTAGCCCCACTAATTGTGCGAATTACGAAGTAATTGCAGCTTTTTTCTTTTATCGTTGCCGCGAAACTTTGGCGTTTGTCGTGAAACGGTAACTTAACTCCCGTTGTAAATGCCGACCGATGTAATCCCCATGGAACGATAAGGTAATGTAATACTTGTCGATTCCTCCATCGCGACAAGAAATCAGACCCGCGTGTCTGGAAATTCACGCGAGCACGGCTGTCTTCATCGGGCAAATTTAAAATCGTTTCGCTGTTGAACATCTCGAATTATGTCGAATCGAATCTTTCGCGAAAAGCCTAATTGCATTATCGGCGATTACGATCCCTGGTCAACGACGCTTGATGATTAATTGCCGACGAAAGGAAAGATTAAATTAATTGAACTTGGATTCTCCATTATTTCAACCACTCTTTATCGGTCTTGCAAGTACGTACATGTATTACGCATTAATTTGTATGCGTCATCGATTGTATCTTTGAATTATTTCTTCCTCAAGTATCCTCATTGATATTTCGGATATTTAGATGCATATTTTTCAATAAATATTTATTTACAGAACCAGTAATTTCCTCGATTACAGTAAATTCTCTCTAATTGACATTCAGCTTGTGCACAAAAATGAATAAATTTGAAAAGATGAGATACGATTATTCGAGCCTTGCGCCTCGTTTTCATAGTTGCCGATTTTCAACAGCTATAAAAACGAGCCGCAAGGCTCGAATAATCGTATTTCCACTTCTCAAACTGCCCACTTTTGTGTACAAGCTGAGCGTCAATTAGGGAGAATTTACTATACTTCGTCAAAAATTGAATCCTCCACGAGAATTTTTTCTTAATTATTAACCGAAAAGATTAGATATTTTAGGTCAAATATAGTACTCTTGTGCGCTTATATTTACTATGATTGTGCCAGGAGTTATTGAAATTATTAAATTATGGGTAGAACAATTTTAATAAAATTTCTAATTTTTATTACTCTTTATTACCAAGAAAGGTATATCAATGAGATTTCAAGGCATAACTAATAAAAAGCACGAACCTATGATTGCACAAATTACAAATCATGAGAGGAAGTATATTTTGTAACACAATACAATACGCAGACTGATTTTTGCATCTAGGCCATATTTTAAGAAATTCAACTAGAGACACGCTGTAGGATGTGTTTCGAAGATATATTACTATATTAACTAGTTAAATTGATACTAAAGTGTTAAGTAAGTGTACACGTCTCCGTTAATTATGACGCGGTCGGATTGTAAATCTATAATCTGATAACGGGGGCAATTAGTCAACGCGTGAATCAGACCCTCATGATTCGAGGATTGGGCCATTCCCACCATGCTTTCATCATGCGACAAGAAATCCCTGTCTAGACAGGTTTTTAATCAATTTAAATGATAAATCAACACCGGGACAATGTCCAGAAATTCACTTGATTCATAATACAGTAAATTCTTCCTAATTTACGCTCAGCTTGGAAACAAAAATGGACAATTTGGGAAGAGAAGGTACGATTATTCTAGCATTGCGGCACGTTTTTATAGTTGTTGACAATCGGTAACTATAAAAACAAGCCACAAGGCTCGAACAATCGTATCTCCTCTTCCCAAATTATCCATTTTTGTGTACAAGCTGAGCGTCAATCAGGGAGAATTTACTGTAATTGGATTTCATTAAAAACTACCCTTTATAAGAAAGTGTACAGTATGCAAGAATAAGTGTGCCGACGTGTGAATTGATAGCAATAAGGTAAATGTGTATGTATACAGGGTGCCCCAAAATTGATATTTGCGTGAAATGAGAGGTTCCTGAGGTGATTCGAAGCAACTTTTTCCTTTATAAAAATGTTCTTCGAGACATCGTTAACGAATTATTAACGAAAAACGCTGACGAAGCGTTAGACGGTCGAGCCAATAAGTGAAAGTGGGCTTTGCGCGCTCGTTGGCTTGGTCGCTGTGTGGCTGCCGTGCTCGCCTCTCATTGGCCAGTGTTTTTCGTTAATGACTCGTTAACGATGCCTCGGGGAAAATTTTTGTAAAGGAGAAAATTGCTTCGAATGACCTCAGGAATCTCTAATTTCCCGGGAGTACCATAATTTTGGGACATCCTGTATACATGGTTGTGTGTGTGAAACAAATGAGTGACGACGCCATATAGAGACGGAAGTTATTTTGTTTTATAGAAATTATATATTTTACAGAAATCCCTTACACCTTGGCAAAAAATACACAAAGCCCAGATTAAAGTTTTCCGTTCGCTAGACACACTCCCTAATTATGAAACTGATTTTAAATATAGCCTAATATCCGTCGTCAAATAAAGATTCGGTTCATCAAGTCTGATAAAACAGTAAATTTCCACTCTTTCCTTCACGAAT